ACAAACTTTTACATTCAACAAATAAAATGCGACCGGGGGGAACAACTTTGGTTAAATCAAGAGTAAAAAATAAGCTTAGATGCAACTTTGTTGTGCATTCACCGTGGTTGTTTTTTAAAATTTAATTTCATGTTGTTTTTGTTGGTACGGATAACTGATTATATAGAAATATACGAAAAGAAAACTGAAATTTTGTGAACTATTATAAATAATCAGTTAAGTATTACAAATAATTATGAGGACCTATCCAGCAGTCCGATAATTTAAGTTTAGTCTAGGGATAAAATAAAGTATATTATTATAATAGATTGAATAGATTGCAGGTTTCTATTATCCACGGATTAGCGAAAGCGCAGTCAACATTCTCTTGGTTATATGGTTCACCAATCTGGGAGTGTACTAATAAATAATAATAGAGATATATTGAGGCGAAGTTTGTAGTTCCAAAAGCTTATACAATATGAGAAATCTGGCAGAGCTACTTGTGACTTAATAGTATGTGCTGATCTGAGGTCTCAAGAATTTATATATACTATATATCTAGCTTTACTTATGTATAGAATGTGCATTCAATAAACTGTCCCGTAATGTATAAAGAAATCACTTTAATTAATTTTCACCAAACACCAAAACTACACTAAATGGTTCCATAATTGTTGGTCTAGATTTATTTACTGAGAGATTAATTATATAATCCATTTGTGTCAATCAAATATTAAATTTAACAAATTTGAAATTCAAATTATTTAGCCGGCATCTCTCAACATCAATGCAACTATTTCAGTCACCGGAGCTGCTCATTTATTTATTATTATATGGCTACAGTCCATTTATATTGAGATTGCAATTGTAATGTCATATTTTTATTTTATTTAAAATTTAAATGTATGTAGATAGTTTCAAGAGTTTTTATCTGTTTGCTCAAGAAAATTTAACGCTGGAATCTTTCCCATTTGAACTTCAAACTAAACATCAAGCATTGCTAAAATAACATGAAAAAAATGATTAATTATTAAACCAACGCCTGAAATTACTAAAAATCACAAAGTTCAACTAAAATTTTAACGACTAGGTTGTTATTGAAGACGAGCTCATATAATTGTATATTTACAAAAGTAAATTTAATAAAAAATCATGAAGCTAGCACTTTTTTCTGAATGTAGAAAATATGTGTTTGTAATAACAAACTGATTTCAGCCACGCATCGAGAACACCGAACTTAGAAAATATTATCAACATTTTAAAACCCTTATATTCAAGTTTGCACCTTTCTTAAAAGTTTTTCACATCAAATCGATTAATAAAATAAAAAATTACAAGTATAAATAACAGCGCAATAGTATTTGAATATTTTGCTTCCCGACTTAGAATAAGCAAAGGTGATTCCAACACTTTGAACCATTTGTCTGTTGAAATGACATCTTCTTCAAATTTTTAGCCTTCTTCTAAGTCCCGATTTAAAAGACAATTATCAGAATACGAAACAGAAACCAATCATCTCCAGTTGGAGCTCCAGTCGACGATTGTGTGAAGTGTTTGAAGGTGTCATCTGATATCTCGTTCATATTTTGCGTTTTATACGTTTTGTGCGTAAGGTCTTAAAGTCGAATTTGACCCGGTCGGTTTTAGATATTTTTTTGGATAATAATATTATTATGAATAACATTTTTTAGAATGTTATATCGTATTTTATAAATTATAATTTGCTTTAGGAATACGTAGCTATTTTTTCTATAAAGTAAAATTTAACTTATTTCAAATGGTAGTTGGGAAATTTGGTTAGAAAGTCATGGCCAGGACACATAAAGCACAGTTATTGGTTTGGTTCGTGTGCCTAAGTCTGAGAATTGATTTGTTATTAAAATATAGTTTATTTCAACAAACATAAAAATGTTGATAGAAAGGTTGCAAAAGAAAAGAAACAAATTTATGCGGTTTATGCGTGTATTTAAACAAAAGAGTTGTTGTTGTTGTGTTGCTTAAAAATGGTTCTGTTTGTCGAACTTAAAACTGAAAAATCCATCAAAGTACGTCATGAACTATTTGCGAGGGTATTTATAATCTGTGGAGTGCTGAAGATAACATTTTTGATGTTTGTTGTTATTGTTTATCTCCGGTTGCAAAGCAAACAGCAATTCCCCAAATAAAATACGTTTTCGGTTGCTTTTACTTTTGTGGCTGTTGTTGTTATTTTTGCACAGCTGAGCTGAGCGTACTTTTTGCAAAACCTTTCATAGAAGTGGCTCGACAATAACAACAACAACAACGATGGGGCCCTGAAATATAATTGAGAATTCATTTATGCGGCTTGCTGAAAATTTTTGCCGCGCGAACTCGTGTACATAACGTAGATACATAAAAAAATGTATATATATATATATATATATATATATATATATATATATATATATATATATATATATATATATATATATATATATAAAAATATATATATATATATATATATATATATATATATATATATATATTTATATATACATATATAGCTGCCCTCTCTTACTTTTGGCGAGCGAAATGTATCTCATAGATACAGCAAGACAACATTGGCATTTACTTGGCGTTTCGGTTGTTTGCTGAAATTATGTGTCGCCTTTTATGGCATCATCATCGGCCGCAGCAGCAACTGAACAACACCATCAACAATGGTACCACCAACATTATTATTATCATGCGTGCCTAATGGCAGTTGAGTGAACAGAGTAAACCTGTAGAAGGGGCGTGGGCGGTTGGTTGCCCTAGAAACACGACAAGTTCTTTGGTCATAGACAAGGATTTGTGAGTTGGCTTCTTTAATATTACAAAAGATAGACTAGAACCGAGCACGTCTATTCACCCATTAATGTTTGTAGGTAATGAATAGGCAAGAAGCCACAACAGAACTAATCTATAAAGCATTTTTAAGACGCCCATTAATAATTAATAGGATTGACAAAATAATGAACTCTTGTATTTGAAATTTCGCATTTTTCATAGACTTCGATGACTTGGTAGCCATTTGTAGCAGAAAGGTAATAGAAATTAACAATATACAAATTTAAATTTAATAATTGAAAACAGAATATAGAACTTGAATTTGGAAATTAATATTATGGATGGAAGATAATTCTTATTGATGTGTAATATTTATGTTATTATAGACAATAATTATAATATACTCCTAATTTTAAATTCATAATTCTTTTAATCGTTCAAAGTACTTTTTAAAAGTGTACTACCAATTATATGTGGTAGAACAGTTCTTATAGAAATATCTTCTCAAATTTATTTAAAATACTCATTATACCAATTTCCAAATAAAATTCTCCTTTTGTAAATCATCTTGCAACTAACTTTGGAACAGTTTATGGCACACGTATCTGTTGAGGGGGAATGTAAAGCAATCGAGAATAGGAATAGTATAGTTTTGCGAAATTGTAAAATTGTCAAATTCTAAACCATTCACAAATTAAGTAACTATGTGACGAGTTGACTTATTTATTTTATCTTTCCTTTTAATTATTTACAAACTTTGGTGTCACAACGACAAACAATTTCAAAGTAATTGACAGCCTAATTGCTATTCTAAGTCCGATTAATTTCTATACCTATAATAAAAAATGTACAGACATAAGAGAAACATTATTATTTCAAAAAAAGGTTTTTGAGCGTAATGTTTTATTAATTTCACTTATCTATTAATTAAACAACTTTGAATATAAAACTCTCCTTTTTTTGTTTTAAGAGTAGTGCGAGTATATTATGCTTAAAAATATGTAGACTTTCAATGACAAGATTTCTAATTTCTTCTTTTAGTTTTTAAAATATTTATACCACTGTGTAATAGGAACTAAGCCTGTTCCCTCTTTTAATCTGATTCCATATATATCAAGTATGTGTTATCAGCTTTAAAATGTATCTTGCTTTCGTTCTGCATCTGCTAAAGTGCCAAGTTTCTTTATAAGGAGTCTTACTTGTTCAGATTCTATTTTCTTAAAATTAAAAAATGCAAGCTTTGTGGAGTCGCTTATCTGCGAGATATCTTGTATCTAATTACAAATCCTTCTTCAAATTCTGCAGTTTCTTGCAAGGCAATAACTTTTAGGCGGACGGACATAAAACAATTTTTAGAATCCGAATTTTTACCTGCAACATCTGATATTTATAGCAGTGACTATAACAAATAAATATGTAGTATGTCTTTTGTTGTCTCTCAGCGTATTGACAGCAATTGATAGACGTTTGTGTTTTTTGTACTACCCCTTATTGATTGCTTCTTTTTGTTTTTTGAGTACGAGTGTGTGTGTGTGCGTGCGTGTGTGTGTGTGAGTGTGTGTGTGTGAGTGTGTGTGTGTGTGTGTGAAGTCGCAATGTGCCACAAGTTAATGCCATTTCAATCAATTTCACAAATTTCCAAATCTTCAATGCTGACAGCAAACGACAACTGTCTGTTTGTGGCTCCGTTTGTGCCAGTGTGTGTGTGTGTGTGTGTGCATCCGTTTTGCTCCCTTTTTTATGGGCGCGGGTGCGCTATTTAACAAATTACGTATACGCACTGTTGCGCGCGTAAAATATTTATGCATCTTTTATATACAGAAAAATATATTAGCATACTTTTGTGTGCACGTGTGTGCCTTCTGCATCCATGCGTGTATGCGTGCGTGTGTGTGTGTGTGTGCGCGCGTAAAACATTACATTTACCCGCCATTTCGTTTACATTAGCAAATAGAATTGATTTTTTGTTCTTGCTCTTACAGGCAAAAGCCGCAACATGCGCGTAATCACGGCTATTAAGTAAAGAAAGCAACAACAAAAAATAGCATAAAAATTGCACCAAGTGTATAAAATACATAATAATAAAAAAAAATGAACAAAACAAATGAGAATATTGCTCATAAAAATTTGCTACCAATGCTAAAAAACAGTTTGCAATAATAATCAACAACAACAACATAATTGCAATTGTGGTTGCTGCTGGTTTTTGTCTTGGCCGCCTGCAGCGAGATAAATTTGCATGCCAACGATCTGGGAGTTTAGCCTCTGACGACGATACCAATTGACGATTTAAACTCACACACTGGGCTTTTTAGCCAGCTGGAACTGGGAACGGAAATTACGTCAGATTGCAATGTTTTTGTTTTACAATGGACGCGGTTTTGTCATTCTACTAATTGAAATATTGCTGCTGATATTGAGCGATGACAATGGACGTCTGACCAAGGAGCCGACAACAGGTGAGTTCAGAAATAATTTAGCCCCTCACCTCATGCAGAAAAAATATATAAATATATATATATTCCATAACTTAGCTCAGCAGGATCCTATTTTCCTAGCTATGTTCATACAAGTAATTTGTACAAAAATTTATGAAACTGCGCTAATATAACACGATTTTCATGTAAATTCAATCAAAAGCAATAACATTGCTCCAAAAACTGATACTTTTGCCGTTATTTATTAATCAGTTTTTGGAAAATATGGCATTTCTTGTGGCAATGCCTTGCTGATATCCAATACTACTTTTCAAATTCGCATAAAACTTAGCAGATTAAAATTTATATGGGAAGAATGCTTATTTCGGATATACTTTTCATGGCTTATCATATACCTGTCTGAACGCCATCTGATAAGCTTACAAGTATAAGTATATTTTGTTTATAATTTTGATTAATTTAAACCTAATCGACATAGAATTTTCTGTTATGCTTTCGTTACAAAGTTATATCTCGTTCTCACGGAAAAAAGCAATACCGTGGAGGATTTTTTTTTTTGTCTACCTTCACAGCGACAAGGTATTTCATTTTTCTGAATACGGAGCATTCTTGTTTCTAATACTAAATAAATGAACATAATTAAAGCAACATTGCACAGCATTTTTTATAAATATATCTTTTTTTTTGTTGATAAATATCGACTTTTTTTTTACATTTTTTTGCAATTCCGTATGTATTTAATGGATTGTCACAAAAGGTTCCTATTACACTTTCAAAATGGGATATTTACAATGAGTTTAAATTATAATTCGTTTTTAACAGACATGAAGAAATATTTGTATATATATGGCTATATAAGTAGAGGAAGATCATGCCTCACATGCCTCACACAGATAAAGTTGTACATTTCGAAGGAGAATTGAATTATTATTTGTCAGTGAAACAAAAATTATTTGCCTTCCAAGTGAATGCATTCTAAAAGTAGGTAGAATGTGTTCCCACAATTCGACGCAGCAGCGTGCGTGCTCACTCAATTTTATTGACTCAGTCGGAATTCTATGGATTGTTTGGTCAACATTCTCGCATTTGTGCTCATTTATAAATAAATTGAATGAAGTGAGAGTTCAGTGGGTGACAAGAAATAAAAGAATTTATGCAGCCCAGGTATGTGCACATATAAATACCTGTTAAAAGTTCTTTTCCAAATATATATTTTAGTTTGTAGACTCTAAAGCGTATAAATACCGCTTAGATGTAACTTATTCTCAGTGCTGGGGCGTGTCAAGTGTTTACCAAGGCCACTTAAAAGTCTCCTCATTGCCCAAAACTTCAAAGGGAGTTACAAAAAAAATAGAAGAACTTGTTGAGTTCCTGTGGAGCTATATAGCTTGGCTAGTTGAAGGAGCATAGCGAAAAAAAGCCATAAAGAAAATCAGTAACATAAAATATTAAAGTTGCTGGAACACGCAAGAAAACTTTTTCGCGCGATGTGTGCGGGAAGCTAACAAAATTTCAACAACAACAACGATAACTAAAACCAACTCTGTTTTATAGCCACACGGTTTTTGGCTTTCATTTTTTTTTTTTTCTTTACTGCATAGAGGGCGGGAATAATGTTAAACGGGGCTGTTCCCCGTTCCGTGCAATAGAATAGCACTTTCGCATGCAAGTCCGCCATCTGAGGTTATTACGTTGTTGATTTGACTAAACGAAATTATAATTCATATACCATACTTTGTGTAAAAGTAAAATAAAAAACTTGAAGGCTTGGCAATTTTGTTCGCCAACAAAATTCAAGGGTGCAGAGTGCTCAGTGCTTGGCCATTAACTTTCTTCTATAATATGCTTCTATAAGTTGGGCTTTTACAGAAAGCAGTTCACTGCTCACAGACAGTCAATCATACTACAGTATCGCTTTGAAACAAAAAAGCAAAAGCAAAAAAAAAAATTTGTAATCATTAAATTGTGTTTATTTTAGAAAATTTAGTTAATAATGTTGATAATTAATAAAGTGGGCGACAAATGAATTTGTGAAATGAAAAGTAATGATATCGTCAGACAAGCCAAAGTTTCAAATGTATTTATATTTATAGGACAAAATTAATTTTTTTAGAGCAGGGCGCACAAATGTCAATAGGTTTTTCAGTTTGTTTAGAAATAACCTAAAATGGATGAAATTTAATTCCCACACATTTTCTAAAGACCTGTGTTTTTGTTGCTGGCTTTATTTTCTTACTTCAAAACATTTTCAGCACTGTTTCATTAGGAGAACCCATTGGTAGTTCTCAGACCTAAGTACTACCTCGAACCAAACATAATTTCAGATACGCGTGAACCTGCAATATTGACAAAATATTTAAAATACTACTTTAAGTTTTAATTTCAAAGAAGTGCCGCAAAATCGTTTTACTTTAAAATTCATAAACATCTTAACAAAAAACAGTCAAGTATAGTAATATAAAATATTTAAGTATTTTTCAATTCAAACAATAATTTAAATTTAAATACTTTTGCATTGAAATTCTTAAACGATTGCTTTTCAATTGCAGAACATTATCGATTTTTGGCTTCAATCAATTTATAATTCTGTTCATTTAATTTGAAAAGTTAGTTGGTTCGCATATCCTATCCCTATCTCAGCTGAACATCGTTAAAAAGCAATGCAACTAAGTATGTATTTGGGCCTTTTGTAAAACTCCCCACTGCTGCTGTTCCTTCTAAGTGATTTATTATAATGTTATGAGCAAGATTTCCTTCATGCTGCCACCCCCTCTCGTACATACTATATAATTTCAAAAGCACCCTGTGACATTCCCAGGTCGTTTGTATGCAATGCGTGTCAACCCTTCGATGCGCGATGCTCGATGCTCGAGCTAGACATGAAAAAATTACGCACTTTCTTTTGATGTTGGCAAACGGGCAATTCGGATATTGTGGCCATATTGTTTTATATTCAGCTTATTGGTTTGAAGACCTTACAGGATAATGTTGCTCTTTTCTTCTCTATGAAGTCCTAGCTAACACACTTGATGGCAGCATGTTGCCATAAATTGTCCAATGCTTTGATTTTGTACATATTTCAACTACTCGCATATGTTTGTCAAACATGTGTGGCTAGTGAATTATGAACCAATTATTAGTTCATCCATCAAAGTTTTAGCCCTCTCCCTCCCACTCACCTAAAATAGAAAGAGGAAGGGTAGTGGCATCGCCATCATCAGTCAAGCCATTTGCCATAGCCATCATCAAATATTTAGCCGTTGCGAAGGCAGCAAAGCAAACCACAACTGATGATGTGCACTTAAAATGCAGGGCATACACAAACCCAGAACACTCAATGTTAACCAAAAGTTTGCGGTGCACTGCACACACGGCTGGGGCTCAGCAAGGCTTCGTGGCAGCACAGGAAGGGGCATGCCAATGAAAATGAGGCAAGGCGAAAGTCCAAGTCCAAGTCAAACGACTAAGCGGCATGTCGTCAATAAATTTTCCATTAAATTCAAAGCAAACCCAAAAGGCAAAAAAAAAAACTCGTACGAAATGTAAAAGGAAAACATAAAGGAAGGCACATACTACATAACTCCTGGCCGTTATGGGCACTCACACGCACGAACACACATGCACGTACACATGCACATACACATGTAGTATGTATGTATGTATGTATTGTGAACAGTGTTGATAGTTCAAATAGGAATAACACCGTCTGGCCAATTGACCGCAATTGCCAACTCAAGTGCCGATAATGAATAAAAATTGGATTAAAGTATATATGTTTTCAATTTTGTTCATCTTAAATAATATCATATACCATATCATGTCAAAGCAATATTATAACTCCTTACTTCTCGAAAACTAATTTGCAACATAAGGGGAAAGAAAGCTCGATTATGTATCTTACTTTTGCATTCTTTAAAAGGCTTGCGAACAGCTTCATTTGAGCTTAGGTCTAAAGAGGTTTTATTGTATGTGGAAGCCAATTTTCTCTTTATGTGATTAATTGTTTAATAAAAGATCTTATGCGTTTGCAAAAGAAGACTTATGAGAATATTATTTTACTTTGCCCAATCTTGTTATAATCTCCTTTATATCTCCCCCTTCCTACTTGTATATACATTATTTATTTATTACCCCTGATGTAAAATTTTTAAAGCAACAATCGATAGGCCCAAGAAGTGTAGAGAAACAAGCTGTGCACTGAAGCTAAAGAGCAAAGGAAATCCGGAAATGCTAAGATAGTATACTCATGCATATATATATGTACATATACATATATTTAAAAGTCCATTTTATAATATTTGCTTCACAGTCGACTTTTTATCTATTGTATTTTTAAAGAAATCACATTTAAATTTTTAAAGTACATTGTACATGTTGAAATTCCTGGAACTAACTTAAAAGAATATAAGGATGCTGAATTCTTCAAGATTTTAAGACCATTATGTAAAACTTGCATTTCCTTAATTGTTATTTATGTAGAACTAAAAATAATAGGGTAAAGTTTTTATTCATTCCAAACTCGATATCTATTATATTTGTTGGCAATATAATTTTTCAAATTACAGCCTTTTCGCAATGTTCTTTGCCTTAAGTTTCTTAAAATGCTAGCCACATAGTTATGTTTGTTGCGGAGTTAGAAAGCCATTCTATGTTCCAAAACGATCCTTGCCTATAGACAGCTTCATCTTTCAATGCAACATATACAATAACATAAATACACTTACATATATACTTGTATATATAGAACCATAAAGAGTTTGAACATGTTGATGTTTGTTAGACACGTTTTTAATTACATCTAATATTAATTAGAGCTTAAAGTGACGTGGAACAATGTGTGAGTGCAGGTGAATTTTTAAATTCAGGCTACATATTTAAAATCCAATATTTCGTCCAATATTTGTGTTTTACACAATAACTATCAATTATTTCCATAATTAATTTTCAATTAAAATCTACATTACTTTTGCTGTTTCTATTCAATTAGCCAATGCTGTGTTGCCATGTGGGTGTGTACTTAC